AAGACGATCCTTTGGCCAAACGTGTGCTAAACAGTTGTGGTATCTCCCCTTCTGCCCTGGCCTTTTCACACTTCCTATCTCGTCCTAAGTCGTCCTACCAACATGACCAAGTTGCGTAAAAAAGGTCAAACAACTTCAATACAACGAAAAAAGACTGCGACTACACAAAAGGCCACACCATCTTGGTCTTCATACCTTCGATAAATTCCCTTTGCCTACAATAATTAGTCGGATATACACACTATCCTCTCTTTATGACACATTCTCACTCGAGCTGGAAATCCTCTCGACCCTAGGCCCCCTCATGTCACTGTATGAATGCTGAAGCTCATAGCGAAGCCACATGACGGGAATCAGCCATCTTCTGCCGGCAGCTCGATTTGACAACCTCTCCATCATTCAAGTTAGCCCAGCCACATCTCGCGAACTGCTTTCCCATCCCCACTCGACTGGACTTAATTGGGTTGCAGTCTCGAAACCAGCTCATGCTCTCCAATCGGCTCTTGCAACAGGATCGAATAGCGGGTCTTGAGCATACCGGCGATCCTGCCACCTTGTCCAATGCCCACGCATCCCACCGAGCCAAAGGGCAGGCTTGACTGTCACGGTGAGCCAAGCCTTTCTAAACACACAGTTGAGGTGTGATTGTCGCAGAGACAAGCTACCGAGTCGCCCATCCTCGAGGTGATTGGGTTTCAAAGCACAAAGTCGCCTCTGTCTGAGCAAATCTTGACCATTTGAGGCCAGTTGTGACTCCAACCCAATGGACAGGGCTTGCTTCGCCAATGCCGCAGCGCTGTTGTGCCCTTCCCGGCCCAACTGCCTGTCCCACTGGACAAGCCTACAAAAGGAGTACACGTCTCTCTAGCCTTGACAACCACCCCGGCCCTCATTCTGACCTCGACTGGACCTGTTTCCGTATCATACCACCAGACGCGTTGCGATAGCAACGGTGGCCTACCAGCCAGTCCCACTTTAGGCCGGGGCGTTTCATATGGTCTAGAGTTGGGCAAGCCTGTGATTCCGGAGAATCAGGTACCACACTCTGTTGCCTCCTTTGGCTGAAGGTCGGGCCACACCCATCGCCAATGACTCATGTTAGACCTTTTCTCGTGGGACCGGCGTATGCGCGACAAAACTGGCAATTGTATTCATAAACGATGCCTCAAAGAAAGTTTCTAATCGATGGCGTCGTTCAGGCGTCATCAGCCGACCCTCTTGACCTGCTACCATTGTTGTCTGGGCGCCCGGCAGGAGGGAATGAGCAAACAGCATTTCTTGTAAACCCCACAGCCGCAGTCTTCTCGGCCCAAGAAGGCCACTTATCATTCGAATGGCTTGAAGTTGGATGCGAAACAGCAATGAACTGTGAGAAAAGGTATATTTATGGGTGGTCCGGTTGCTAGTTGTCGTTCGTTTGTTGCTTAATTTGGGGTTCTTTGCGTGTTTGAAATTGTGATTCGTTTGTTGTTTAAAGTATCCTTAGTCTCTTGTTTGAAATTGTGGTTTTTTTGTTGCTTAAATTGGGGTTGGTCACTTGTCTGGAATTGTGGTTCGTTTATTTTTAAATTTTGGTTCTTTTCAAGTTTAAAATTGTGTTTCGTTTGTAGTTTAAATTAGGGTTCTTCCCTTGTTTGAAATCGTGGTTCGTTTCTTGTTTAAAGTCTAGTTCCTCGCTTGTTTGAAATTGTGGTTCGTTTTCTGTTTATATTGGGGTTCGTCTCTTGTTTGAAATTGTCGTTCGTTTGTCGTTTATATGTGGTTCGCATCTTGTTTGAATTTGTGATTCGTTCGTTGCTTAATTTGGGGTTCTTCCCTTGTTTGGAATTGTAGTTCGCTTGCTGTTTAAAGTATCATTAGTATCTTGTTTATAATTGTGGTTCGTAGTTATTCAAAGTGTGATTCGTCTTTTGTTTGAAAATATTGTCCGTTTGTTGTTTATATTGTGCTTCGCCTCTTGTTTGAAATTGTGTTTCATTTGTTGTTTAAATTGGGGTTCGTCCCTTGTTTGGAATTGTGGTTAGTTTATTGTTTAAATAGGGGTTCTTGCCTTGTTTGAAATAGGGGTTCTTGCCTTGTTTGAAATTGTGGTTCGTTTGTTGTTTAAATTAGGGTTCTTCCCTTTATTGAAATTGTGGTTTGTTTGTTGCTTAAAGTGTGGTTCCTCTCTTTTTGTGATTATGGTTCGTTTGTTGTTGATATTTTGGTTCGCCTCTTGTGGTTCGTTTATTCTTTAAATTGGGGTTCGTCTCTTGTCTGAAATTTTGGTTCGTTTGTTGCTCAAAAGTGGTTCCTTCCTTGTTTGGAATTGTGGTTGGTTATTTATTTAAAGTGTGGTTCCTCTCTTGTTTGAAATTGTGGTTCATTAGTTATTTTAAGTGTGGTTCATCTCGTGTTTGAAATTATCGTTTCTTTGTTGTTTATATTGTGGTTCTCCTCTTGTTTGAAATTTTGGTTCGTTCATTGCTTAAATTGGGGTTCTTTCCTTGTTCGAAATTGTGGTTTGTGTTTTGTTTAAAGTGTCGTTGGTCTCTTGTCTGAAATTGTGATTCGTTTATTCTTTAAACTGGTCTTCCTCTCTTGCTTGAAATTGTGGTTCGCTTATTGTTTAAAGAGTCGTTAGTCTCTTATTTAAAATAGTGGTTTGTATTTGATAATTGCGAGCTTTCTTCTTGTCTTATTTTGCAAGATTTCTCATGATTTTTTATTGTTTTACTCTTGCCTATTATTTTCAACTTGATCATCTCATTTGGTAGATTCTTCCTTATTTTTACACCACTTTGCCATTTACTTTCTCTATGCCTTAACTATTTTTTAAATTTTTAAATCTTGTATTATCTCATGTTGTTTCGCTACGCTGTTAAGGTTTCAATTTTTACTTTACGTTATTTATGTTCTTCTGGGCAGTCTAGCTCCAAATTGCGTTCTTCTCTGGGCTACAATGTAGGAATACCCAACCCTATCCGAAGAAGCAGACCGAAAGACAAAAGAGCTTGCAAGGGGAGGAGAGTAAGATTCGTGTCTAAGACCTGATCTTAAGGAAGCAGACGCCCTTGTCATGTGGAAGCGATTAGCACGTTCTACGTTGTCTCGCTTTTGTGTTCTTTTCCATTCAGAGTAAACACTACTTGTCCGCGCATGTGTGTATGATTCAACTTGTGATTTGTTTGTGGATGGTGGTCTCGCAAGACGTGATTAGTCAGGCAGACCCAATGGGAAAGTTCGTGACTTCAAGTCGTGCTAAATGAGTAACGATAAACGCGGTTTATTCTGTGAAATATTAAAGTGCACCAATAAGAAAGGATTATGCTAAATCACCTAACCGTGAACTCGACTAATTTTACGTACCTCTTGTTTTCTGCCATCTACCACCTCGATGAGCTCCGCCTTACGACAATTCTGAGGACCCGTGACAAATTTGCTGAAGCATGATTCTATTGTCGTTTTCGTTGTGAGATTACTATTCCTGAGTGTTACGAAACCATCATACTACTATAATTTTGATAGTAGCATAGTTTTTGACGACAAATTTATGGTGTCTAGTACAGATGTGATCGTTTGTATCTTAAAATTCGTGCACCCGCGCTTGTTGTCTGGGTTCTAGTTGGGAGCTCTGTTTTTGATGAGCCCAAAAAGAGTGAGTTCGAACCATTGACGAGCCTCATCCTCCGATGGCTACGAAGGGAGTCCACGAATAATCCATTTCTCCATGCGAACGCATGAGAAACCACGATGTTTCTCTGTAGACACGGTATATCCTCAACTTAGTTGCGATTGTAATGTTGATCTTGTGGAACAAGCACATCTTCGGTTGGGCAGACAATCTCGATGAACAGCAAATGTGAAGACGATTTTCAGCAGGCAAAAGGGCGCAAGCAAATGACCAGTGGCCAACTTGTACAAGCACGACGGAAACAACTGCTTCGAGACGAGTAAGCTGGGCCCTTTGTTGCTATTGTTGTGGTTTACTCTCTATCGACTATTACGAAAGCATCATATTACTTTAATCGAAATAGTAGTGCAATTTGTGCTGACAGATATGTGATGCCCGAGTCGACGTATCTTTGAGTGGAGATGTGATATTTTTTGCGCATTAATCCTCGTTTGGTAGCTGCCGTCTGTGGCCAGTAGCACCGCATGAAAAGGTCCTTTCTCCTTCATGTGAACCCATTAGAAACCGGGCTTTTCTCGAATTTGATGTAAACTTAGTGCTGATTTTGCAAAACGAGTACTTCTTCAGATGGCCCATTGTCTCGCTGAACACTCATTTTGCAAGGGTTCTTGCCTTGGGCAAATGCAAAGCCGACTTTTAACTGACAAACTGGCAAGAGGATACGGCCAACTTGTGAATCCGCGATTAGATTGATTTGCATTTCTTTTCGGATGAATTATTCTAATTATTTCATTGAATTTATAACATAGGATTTAATATATATGTTGTTCTATAAACAAAATGGATACATTTTTAAAAGTGATTATTCTTAAACAAGAAATAGATACTCCTTTATAGACAACGCAATTTACATAGTCTCAGTTAGAACCGAAGGAAATTGGTAGCCGATGCTATGCTTTTGGGGGAGTGTATGATTTAATAGATGTTCTAATAGGTAACCTACTTTCATTATTAGTGTATATACGGTTTAGTTACACAAAGCACGTTTTTTGTAAAATTTATTTTTTAAAATCCAGCTCAACATGCACTACATTATAAGTAGTCGTATTGTTATACATGACTTTGTTTAGTACTCAATATTATTATAAGAAATTGTGATTGTGAGAATTAGGTTCAATTAGAGTACATATCGCTCGTCATCTTCGATGCTTACTAAGGCAAGTTGTAAAATGGTAACCACAGCGAAACCTGTGGTTGATATATTATGTCTGTTGGTGTTTATTCGTTTAGTTGTTCACCTGTTTTTAAAGCTTTGACTGTTTAAGTGGTTTCTTTAGGGTTTTTTTATATTTATTTCGTCATAGATTCTGTTTTATTTTAATTTACCATGTAAGGCTTTTAGTCGTGATAGTTTTGAGGTATTAATGTATGTTTTTCTGTTTTTGGCTGGGGGTTTTATTATTGTATTAATTATTTTAACCTTATTTGTTTGCGATAAAATACAAGATTTTCTGGTTGATAACATAAATTTTGGGAATATAACAGGTCATCAGTGGTATTGATCATATAGTGTTGATAGTGGAGATATCGAGACTCGTTTAGGCGTGTACATTTCTAGATTGGCAAAAAGTGTTGATCATACTTTAGAATTTTATGTGCTTTAATCGTTTAGAATACCTGCTGCTGAGTTAAAGATAGATTCTGTATCAGGCCGCATTAAAAGGGTTGGTTTGTATTGTGATACAGTTGGTGCATTTATTTGTTAAAGTAGTTAGTTTTGCCGACCAGGTCATTCTTATGGCTATTGTTTTGAATGTTCTATAGAATAGTAGATTAATTAATCTGATGATTTA